GATAGACTGGGGGGCCGTGAGCCATGACTCTCGGCTCACCTGATTGTCACCTCTTGCGAGAATTTTGGCCTCATCACATGTGAATGTGTGACCGGGTCTCGTCGAATGAGCCACAACCTGAAAATTGGCATCATTTCGCTGCACTGCTGCCCCGTGTTTAGCAATTTGCGTCTTGAGAAGCCTGCCAGTTTCTCCGACATAGTTGCTTTGCCCGCAACTGCACCAGATCCTGTAGGCGACTCCAGATGTTTCTTGCCGTGGCAGTGGGTCTTTTGGTTTACTACAAACTCCTGTGCATACGCTATCCATATCTGCCACTGCTCTCTGACAATGTCTTTGAGGATGAATGCGCGACGGATCTCGAAACGTCAGACGAATAAATGTAATGTCCCAGCAATCGAGTCGTCTTTTTTTCAAAATTCGAATAACCTCATGATCTGCTCAATTTTGAAGGAACTTCATGCCTCATAATATGCCTCTTCAAGTCTCTTGCGCAAGACTTCGTGCACCAGATTTGGTGGTATGTATGCGAATAACGAAGTCGCATCTCTGACGGTGGATCCTGTAAGAGTTCAAAAGCTCAGAATAATAAACAAACTGATCCGGTGCTCGACAATCCTTCTTCCTTATCCATGTTTCGTCTATCCTAACTTATTTAACTTCTAAATTACACTTGAACAGTAAATTATTTACGAAAAAAACTATTTCATGGCACTAGTGTGAGAAATTGACCGGAAATCAGGAATTTTGAGTTGCTCAATAAAGCGTCTGCCGCATCAAACAGAGCCACCGAGAAACCCTAGCCGTTACGACCTTCAGACGTGGTCCCCAAAATGAACAAACTGGTGTGCACGTCTCTGCAGAAGGAATAAACACGTTGAAACAAGTTCAAGCGTTGTTTTCCCGGAAGAAATTTTAGCAACGCGAAGATCACAAGATTAGTGGAATTTATTGCGACCTCTTATTCAAACGCAAACGGCTATTGCCGTCTAATGAAGTTTGGACCTAGATGTGTGAAACTTTATAGATAATAGAGTAGAAGCTGTTAGTCTTAGATATGGGCGCATGGTGGGGGGGAGGGGG